GTTTCAACAATTGTATCACATTCAAGTACATCACTTTGCAAAACTAGGAATCTATAAGCAGCACTAGATTCAGCATAACCAATAAACATGCAATCAGAAGTCTTAGAACCAATTTTCCTCTTCTTAGGATCAGGCAATAAGACCTTAGCTAAACACCCCCACACTTTCAAATATTTTAAATTAGGTGCAAAACCTTTCCACAATTCATAAGGGGTTTTCTTATTGTGCTTACGAGGAATCCTATTTTGTAAGTGACAAGCAGAAAGAATAGCCTCCCCCCAAAGATTATCAGGTGCACCGGAACTAATTAAAAGAGCATTCATCATCTCTTTTAGTGTCCTATTTTTTCTTTCAGCTATTCCATTAGATTCGGGTGAATATGGCGGAGTGACCTCATGGATTATCCCTTCTTTCTCACAAAAATCATTAAATAAAATATACTCACCCCCTCTATCCGATCTAACTCTCTTAATCTTTTTATTTAATTGATTTTCTACCTCAGATTTATACACTAAAAATTTATCAAAAGCCTCATCTTTATTTTTAAGCAAATAAACTTTAGTGTATCTAGAAAAATCATCTATAAAGGCGACATAATAATTTTTGCCACCTCTAGTGATGGTAATTTTTAAATCACCTAAATCCGTGTGAATTAAATTAAGCAATTCAGATTCCCTATAAGTGGAGGGACAAGGTTTTTTGGTTAGTTTAGATTGAACACAAACATCGCATTTTTCTAGTGTCATTTTATTTTTACTAGAAATCAAACCACAATCATTTAGCATTTTAATATAAGAATTACTTGCATGTCCTAATCTAGCATGCCACACATTATAAGAATCAACTAAATAGACAGAAGCATTATCATGCAATATTTCAGAAATGCCAAGTATATATAGTCCTTTCTTACAATAGCCATTTCCCACAAGAACATCATTTTTGGTCATGACAAAATTATCACAACCAAAAGAAACTTTAACCCCAACTTTTCCCAAGAGATGAACAGAAACTAAATTAGTCCGAATCTCGGGCACATGAAGCACATCATTTAGTGATAAAGTTTTCCCCGATGTGAGTTTAAGAAGAACTTTCCCTTTTCCATGTACCTTAACGGTTTTAGAGTCCGCTAGGTATACGAGCTCTTCTCCATCTCCTATAATAGTATAGGAGGTAAAAGCATTTTTGTTTTTACAAATATGATTGGTAGCCCCGGAGTCTACCATCCACTCATTCACATAATTCGTTTTACAACTTTGAGAAACAACCGCAATAAAATTATCATCACTACTAACCAAGTTTAAACTTGATTTTAGTGGGTTGTTGTTTTTCATAGTTGTCATTTTACCACTAAATAAAGGAATAATATTTTTCTCAAAAATTGGTGTTAAAGTATGACTTATTGTAAGTAGGAAAATAAAGAGAGTAAGCATTATACGTAGAGATATATCCAAATACCAGTCTAAATCACACCACACATGCAAGAATAACATGGCCGTGATGAGTACAGCGACAACGCCTTGTGAGATCACACGTGCAGACATATCCGACGCCAAATACTTTCTTGAGATTGTTGTAACAAGTCGGCCGGATAAACCTGCAAAAGAGCGTTAGAAAATAATATAGCTCGAGTCGTGTAAACGCTGTCCTCAAGAAAGTATTTCCGACTAGCGAAAACCTTTCCCCAAGATAAAACGAGCTCTTCGGCATAAGCCGGTAACAGAACAACGAGAGTGGAAACTTATATTAATCCAGCAGAGTGAAAATGTTAGGGGATGTTTAACTCCAAAATTATATACTTTCTAGCCACTAAATATGAAGAGTAATATATATTATTCTTTTGAACAAATACTGCTATCACACTCGAGCACACACAAACATGTGATATATATAAACGTACTAATGCCGATCGAGCTTCTCAGGTGTATTAAGTATAAGGCTAATGTTTTTAAATTAAATTAAATAGTATTAATGTGATTAGGCTAACGTTGAGCCATTATTATTACTCCAAAGCACTCATTGAAAATATTCATTGTTAAACAATGAATTGAATAATAGCTAACGTGTCTCAATTAAGTAAAAGAACATTTAAAGTGCTTACCGTTATTTTTAGGAAAACTCAATGATCATTCATTAAAATTATTTTTTTAATAGAATATACAAAAATATCTAATTTATTAATAAAATAATATTATTAGATAATTTATTCATTTGAAATACTCCCAATTATTCCAACAGTTAGTTGCGTTCACCGTAACAACAGAGGCGGAGTTCAAGAGCTCCTTCCTTCGGATTTTATCTTCGAATCCGACCAGTAAGGAGTGAAGATCTTCAAAGTTGGTTTCATCTGGGCGAATGGAGTTCTCCATGGATTCAAATTCGGGACGAAGACCCTCCAGGGCTTGAATGGCAAAATCTTCATCGTCAACTGGTCGTCCGGCCTTGGCCAGTTCATTCGCGATGGTGCGTAGGTGATGAAGATATTCTGCTACAGGTTGCGAGCCTTGTTTAGCATGGCGGAACTGGTCTTTCAGACTTCTAATCTTGGAAGCTGACCGGGTCCCATATAGGCGCTCCAGTGTCTTCCAGACAGAGGCGGAGGTCGTTGCTGACCCAATCAACGGTTTGCAAGCAGAAATGAGAGAAGAGACAAGGGCGTGCCGCACCAGACGGTCCTGTCTCTTCCATCGGAGATGGTTGGCAGCTTCACTTTCTGGAGGAGGACTGAATTTTTCATCAATATACTGGTCCAGATGAGAACCAAACAGAAGGTCCATAACTTGGTCTCTCCATACAAGGTAATTTGATCCATCTAGTTTTTCTGGGAATTGGCTAGGGCTGAGCATAATAAGGCCATCTGGGGTTAGGGGATTGTTGGCTGAGAAAGATGAGGTTGAATTATCTTCTGGACTTTTGTCTCTGTTATCTTCATTAGCCATGGCAGATGAAGATGATGCTGGTTGAGTGGAAGGTGATGAGAATAGACCGATTAGGTCTCTAGAGTCTCTGATACCATAATGGAATTTAGAATAAGAAGGATTGAGACTGAATAACTTAGTTTATTCCATGAAATGAGTTGCTATTTATACAATATTCTAGGGATTAATAAGGCAGGCTACTAATTATAATATTAAATACAAATATTTGTAACTGACGACTCTAATCAATTGTGTAACGGTTGTCTAGACTTTTCTTTGTCTAGATTCTTCTATAGTAGGTGAATCTAGTTTGGTCAGGTACAAGTCCCGAATGCTGGTAGAGATGCCAACGAGTTCTCATGGAGGAGAAACCGATCTTTTGGTACGATGATCATGTTTTAGCAAAACACCTCAAAATTTTGATTATATTAATTCCCTACCCACACATGAAAATGCGATGGGTTTCATAGAAATAAATGAGTGTTTGGAATTGGGGGTTTGATGTGAATATTACTAATAAGTGGACAAAAGACAAAAAAGTAACATTTTTTATTTTAAAAAATGTGACTAATAAGTAGTAAGCTTACTAATTTACCCTTAGTGACATGACATGCGCTACAATGATATAGACACAGTGATGGATCCACCACCACCACCACCACCTCTCGACCGGTGACCGCCGCTTGCTACATTGATACAATGACTTCAATCACAGTGACATGGCCACATTATAGCCACCATAGGACCCATCACCATCCGGAACATTCACATGGGCGTCACCGGATTTGTACAGTTAGTACCAACATCCAGATCTACGAATTACAGACAGAAAAAGGAGAAGAAGACGGCATCATTGGCAACTGGTGGATGTCTGTGGTGGTCCGAGGTCCTCGCCCCCATGCCCCACCCTTCCCAGCACCGAGGAATTGATTATGTTTATGAAAATAGAATGAATTTAAAGTGTTTGGATAACTTACTGTTATAAATAAATTACAAAAAAGGAATAATTTACTGATAATGTGTTAAGATATAATTTGAATATCATACTCTAAAAGTGATGTAAAAAGAATATTTCAAATAATTTAAGTTACATATCAAAACGCTAATATTATAGTGTAAAGAATATATTCTTCAATGTACCAAAAAATGTGTAGAAAAAATAACTACTCCGTATTTGTTTCTACGGCTATTAGTCCTAAATACAAGTGAAATCACTCCTGAATGTAACAATAGAGTTATACTCTTTTTATTTATAAAAGAATAAATAAATTATTAAAAACTATTAAAAAATATGCAGGTCTCTGCCGCTGCATCTTCCACCTCCCAGCACTATCACATCCGATCGTTGGAAAAAATCTATCTTGTATAAAAACGTCACATTTATTCGGAAATGTCATGAAGATGACATGTTCTTTTTGAAAATATCAAACTTTGCTTTCAAAATTGCCATCAAAATAACATTTTTTCCAAGCTGGCTTTTTTTCGACGATCGAGAGGGTGACGGTCTTGGAAGGTGGGTGATGTGGTTGTTGAGGCCTGCATATATTTTTATTTAAGTTTTACATTTTTTATTTTATTTGTTTTGTTTTATTATTATGTAGTACGATAATATTATTTAAAGGATTCTATTAAACATGGAAAGAGAGAGGAGGCTGTCCAATTCAACTGGTCACCGAGTCGCTGACTCATTCTCCCTTATCGGAGGTCCTGAGTTCAATACTCAATGGAGAATTACTCATATTTTGGGAATTTAACCTTTTTACCCATATCATTTTATTTTTTTCTTTTATTTACTCCTAATGAGAGAATTGCCCCTTCTTTCTATCACATTCATTCTATATTCTGATGAAAACTTGAAATGTTGATTAAGGGTTGGTATTCACAAATATAATCACGTAATACTTATGTCTATTTGAACAACATTAAATGGTAATGAAATCTCAAATCACATTTATATTTATACTGATGTTTATATTAGTACTCATTTCATATTCACAAGCGTATATTTATATGTTTATATTCATATCAATATTCATAAGGACATTCACATTTATATTATTATATTGTTTATATTGATAGACTCATCAATGGGGAAAATGAAATTAACATTTTAACTCATCTCGAAGGGCGCAAAGAGTCTGCGACCACATGCCCACCAGGCCACAGTAGCATACGAAGTCAACTGCACTAATTACTACCACTCCGTATTTCTTTCTTTCTTCTGTATATAGACATCAATCAGTTTTCATCCAGACACTCCGGGGCATTTTCTACTCCAATCTCTTCCCCGACAATCTAATTCCTTTATTGCTCAAAGTTTGAACATGCTGCTGGCCTGGTGCATACTTCATCAAACTATTACTACTTCTATAATGTTGTAAATTTATGTTTTTCTCTGATGAAGTAGTCCTCATTCATTTGTTCTCCACTGTTAGTCTGTTACGGTGTATACTTTACACGATTTCAATGTATTTTTTAGATGCTTTATTTTTTTCAATTCTAAGATCTTTTTAAACTCCCTCGTTGAAACTATGATATAATTGATTTAAATAATATAATTATAGCTAAGATATAGAGAAAAAAAGAGAGACCAGGTTGCCTGGAATGCAAAGATTTAATCATGTACATCATTTGAAGAATCAAGTTATGCTTTGGGGCACGTTAAATTCATTTGCAATTCTTTATTGGGTGTGTGGGGGGTGGTTGTGATCTTTGAAGATTTTCATGAAGTTACAATCTTTTTTTGGATATATGGGTAACTGGGTAAGAGAGTAAGACGGGTGTTCTGATAACATTAGAGGACAGTTCTGATTCATGATTTATGCAGAAAATTCAAATAAGAGTTGGGCACCATTCAGAGCATAGAGGGTAGAAGATCGGTGTTGGTTAAAGTGACCAAAAATGGCTTTCAAGCCACTTGATTGGTATTGTCAGCCAGTGAAGAATGGGGTGTGGTCAAAGGCAGTGGAGAATGCATTTGGAACTTACACTCCATGCGTAACAGATTCTTTGGTGATATCTGTTTCTCATCTTGTGATTCTGGTATTATGCGTATACCGTATATGGAGGACAAAGAAGGATTTCACAGTCCAGAGGTTCTGTTTGAAGTCAAAATACTACAACTACGTGCTGGGTTTGCTGGCTTTGTATTGCACCTGTGAACCCTTGTATAGATTAGTCATGGGAATCTCCTTCTTAAATGTTGATGGACAGACTGGTATTGCTCCATATGAGGTATATGCTTCCTTCTCTTGTTTGATATGCTTTCTGGATTTGTCCAGCTTCTTGAATGACTGAATGCAAAGTTCCCTACAATTTTTTTCCCAGCATTATATGTTTTATCCTATGTATTTACTCCTCATGAACTTTGAAGCCCCTTCCATTTGGTAGTAAACACGCAAGTTTATCCCTTCAGTGTTTGTTCGGGGTGGTACTGGTTGCCGATGCAAGTTTAAACTTTTAACTTTATTTTATTAGTTTTCGGTGGTTAGTTTTCAAAATATGCATGATTAGTATAAGAATATGAGAATGCGTAGTTTTGGTTTATTATACAACTTGTTCAGCATAATTATAGAATATAAAACCAAAGAGTGGCCACTCGCAAGTCGCAACCACCCCGAATGGGAAGGAGTCCAGTTTCTTTGCTTGGCTCACCTGAGCCATCAGATCAGGATGGACCCCACACTTGAAACGACTGGATGACCCAGACCTCTTTAGCTTGGAAGCCATGGTGGCTATTGTTTGTGATTTAAGTGTTCGAATGTCATTATTTCTTTGATGCTGTATAACCCTTTTTTCTAACCACAAGTACTTATAGAAATATGACATGTGAGCTTTCTTCGTAATGATTCAAATAAATTTTAATCATTGTAAGATCATTAATGATGATTCTCAAATTGTTGTGTTGTAGATAATTTCCATAGTCATTGAAGCTCTTACATGGTCTGCAATGGTTTTGATGATTGGCATTGAAACAAAAGTCTATATCAGAGAGGTTCGGTGGTCTGTTAGGTTTGGAGTAATTTATGCTTTGGTAGGGCATGCTGTGATGTACAACCTCATAATGTCTGTTGGGGAGTTTTACCAGAGGTTTGTCTCTTACACCACAGTATATTGGGCACCTCCTAAAGATATCTTATTTACATAGAAAACTATAATGGTTCATTACGTTCTAGCATCTATATGTTATATACATATACTTAGAGGCACTGCAAGTAACGATTAAAGTTCCACTTTGTTGATTTTTTTTGTTACCTTTACAAGTAAATGAGAAAAGAGTTTGTTACAAAGGTGTCTCTTCTTTGAGGTTACACTAACAGTACTTTATTTAATTCATGTAAGGATACACAATACTTTGTAATCGTAATTTTGAATATTATGCAGATAAACGTAAAAGAGGAACCTTGGTGCGCCGGTTACAGTGTTGTTGTACGACCGAGAGGTCACAGGTTCAAGTCTTGGGAGCGGTCTCTTGTCAAAATGACAAGGGAAGCTTGTTCCTTCTACACCCTTGTGGTGGGACCCTTCCCTGGACCCTCTTCTTGCGGGGGCACCAATGTGCACCTGGCTGCCCCCTTATGTAGATAAATGTAGTACGGAGGAATAGATACAAAGCGAATTTATATATGTATCTTCTCTGCCCTAAATTTTATTATTACTTTTTTTTTCTTGTGCAGGTCTGTTCTGTATTTGTATACTAGTGAGGTTGCTGTCCAGGTGTGTTGATCCTTTTCCTTTTGTCCAGAAGATTCAATCTCATGTTTTCACAAAGATCATCCTCTTATAGATGACCAAGGGAAACAGTGCTCCACTTTATGCCCTGAGATTATAGTACACCCCAAATTCTGGATTCTCTATAGGGTCTGTTTGGATAGAGGGTTTGGTAGGGACTTGGAGGAAAAGCCTTGGTCTTTAAACTGTGCTGTTGTGATTATATAACATTTCAATCACCTTTTGGTTTGTTTAAAACATTTCGTGGGTGTGTGTATTGTTTCATACACACACACACACATGTATGTGAGGTTTTATAAAAGTTCAAAGACTAAGACTAATCCTTCCAAAGCCTTCACCTACAAAATCTAATTGCCAAATATAACTTAAAGGGCATTTTGCGCTCTCCAAAACCTCGAGTTTGTGTGCATATATGTAAACAACTAATCCATTAGGCTTAAATATTAATAAGAACTATAAAATGTTCCACCAAAAGAAAATTAAATTGGTAACAATAAGCAAGGTCGCAACTCACAAACTCCAATGTTGGACGGTAGCTCAATTTGATATTGTTGACGATGAATTATTATGTCCCAACTCGGTTATTATGGCATTCAGAAAATAATGGCTGAATAAAACATAGTTGATTGATTGAATTTTCTACCAGATTTAGGCCTTATAGGGAATGGAGTTCATGAGTTTTTTCTTTTTCTCCCAGTGGTTACCTGTTTACTTCCTAAAGAAAAAGTAAAGATGAAATAGCTTCGCTTCTAATGGACTCTCAAACTTAAATCTTTTTCTTGTTTGTTTAGGTTCTGTTTGGAATGCTCTTGCTCTTTTATGCGCCTGATTTGGATCCCTATCCAGGCTATTCTCCATTGCAAACTGAATCTATTGATAACACTGCATATGAAGAACTTCCTGAAGCAGACGAGATTTGTCCCGAGAGGCATGCCAGCATATTGTCCCGTATGTATACCTTATCTGCATGTGAATGGCTTTATCTCTAGATTTACTAGATGAGCCATTAAGGGTTTTCTTTGAGTCTTTATGTCTTTGATCAAAGTATTTTTGTTGTTGAAATAGTGGCGCAAACGTTGAATCTTCAGATAGCTTAGTTTATCAGGTACCTGAAATAGGTGCAATGCTTTCAAATCCAAATACAAGGAGTCATACCATACCAAGTTACCACTTTGCGGAAGTAGCCACAGATAAAGAATAGACATACGATAACTCTTCTTTCCCCCTTTCATTATGTCTCCCAAAGGTCATATTTGAACATTTTTGCCTTTCTTAATCTGTCTTGGCTGTGAATCTTGTCCATGTATATTTTTTTGTGTGATGTAGCTTTCATCACGAGGACAACCAATTCTTCTCAAAACATCTATTCTTCTTATTTTCGATTGGAAGCAGTCCATTAATCTACTGACAACGTGCAGTGGCATCACATTCACGATTCACTTCCGTATGGACATTCACTTCCGTACGGAGTCTCTTCCTGATAGAGAGAATAATGTTGGACAAAGTTGAATATTCATTTCATATAAAAACGAGTACAAGTGTACAGCATATGTATTTGCACACAGAGAGAGGATGAGTGCTTGGATGGTAACTGTCCTATCCTTGTCATTTTTGAATTCTCCTTCACCTGGAGCATGTGCATCGAAAGTTCCAAACTGGTTACTAATGTAACCAATCTTGGTCCTCCCCTAAGACATTTTGTGAATATATCCACCAATTGGTCAATTTATCATAGAAACAACTTTCTCACCGATAAAGTGATGATTGGTTTCAATGTGTAACCCATGGGAGACACCTTGTAGCTCTTCAAGAATGTAGGAGTGCTCGAGGATCGCTTTACTGCCCCTTGGAAAAACAACCATATAAATAATATACTTCAACTGGCATCAATGGGAATGAAGTTCATAACACATCTTAGCCTTTTGTTGTGTCCAGTATCACAATATCTTTCACGTTGTGTCTTTCACAGAAATAACTTTTGCGTGGATGAACCCTCTTATGCAACTGGGTTATAAGAGACCACTCACAGAGAGGGATGTCTGGAAACTGGATACATGGGATAGGACAGAAACACTTCACAATGAGTAAGTGGCACCTAGATTCATTGAGTTAAAATGTTCCCATTTTCTTTTCTTTAAATTTCTTTCGGTTGAGTGAAACAATTCAAAAGTAGTAACTCGTAATAACATTGGCATATGTTTGACTCTTCAGGTTTCAAAAGTATTGGGATGAAGAATCTCGAAGGCCTAAACCATGGATTTTGAGAGCATTAAATCGTAGCCTCGGGGGGAGGTAACAATTATGAAAATTAGTTTCTTTACATCCGTTTAGAATATGCTTTCAAAATGAATGCATGCTTGAAAATCTTCCTTAAGAATCTTTGTTTCTTTCAAAATTTTCAGGTTTTGGTGGGGAGGTTTCTGGAAGGTAATCGACTGAAATTTTAAGTCTTGTCGAGTCTCGTGAACTTGAACAAAATATAAACATGTGTATTTTGAACTCTTGAAAATCTGAAGACTGAAATTTATCCATATATAAAGAAAATAATGATTGATCAATTATTTTCTGAAGCATATTAATTGGATATTTCTTTTGTAGAATTCCTTTAGTCCTAAGTTCATGGTGTAGATTTGTGTGCTTAGGCCTACATCTAGAACTCACATTTACAACTTCTATAAGTACAATATTCATGACACTCATCGGCATATCTTTTGTGTGTTTGACACTTGTGTGTGAGGATTTTTCACTACAAGTGGTTATATGAGTTCAACTAGTAGGCCTAGTGTAATGGCAGATCTCTTGTAGCCACTATATCTTGGAGGTGTATGTTGAAAATTCTAAAAAGTAGAAGAGATAGGAAGCTAATTGTAGAGAGGGAGGAAGGGGGCATGGTACATTATTACATATTGGAAAACTCCAAAATAATAAAAACAATCTTCCATTTCATGATTTCATCAATTTTTTAGTTTGTCAAAAATACAGTATTCATGCATGTGGATCATAATATCATCCACACAATTTTGTAAAATGTTGTGCTTTTGTCTTCTTGTCTTGAGATTTTACTCTGACGTAATTTACTTGCCCTTAGATTTAGATGGTGACAAATGCATCCTGAAGGATGGAGATGTTAGATTGTTAGAATGCATTTCACCATCTGCTATGCAGTTGCATGATACTACCTCCGTCCCATTTTAGTTAGCCATCTTTGACTTTTCCAGTCAAACAGTCAAAGATGATAAACTTTGATCAATTATTTTAACCCCTACATTTAGGCAAAAATAATAATTTATACTGATACTACCTCCATCTCATTCTATATGTCTCATTTGGGTTTGGCACAATTATTAATAAAGTGATTGAAAAGGTAAATGTTGTGGTTGAGATTTGAGTATAATAAAGTGTAATGCTGTGAACAACATATTTCTTTCCAAAAAGAGAAATGTGACACTTATTTTGGGGCAATCTAAAACGGGAAGTAAGACAGGTAAAATGAATGGAGAGAGTAGTATTTTTAACAAAGAATATTTTCATATTATTTTCATATGATAATTACTTCCGTTTATAAATATATCATCAATCAAAGTTTAACATTATTGACTTGAAAAGTAAAAGTAAAATGAACGGATTTAGGACTCTAAGGCATTTATTATTGTCAATAGTGATCTTAATTTCTTCTTTTGCAGCAGGCTCTTTTACATTGAATTCATGCTTACAGTACTTTTACAGTTGTGATATTGTTTTGCACAGTTATTCTGTTACATACCAATATAGATTGCTAATTTTTTGGTCTTCTTTATACTTAGATTTTCAACGATCTCTCCCAGTTTGTTGGGCCACTCGTACTCAGCCAACTCTTACAGGTCAGTAGGATGATGTGTTCTTTTTTTTTTTTTACTTATTTTATGATTACATTGTTATATCTGTTACTGAAGACCAGAGTCTCTCTAGATCTGGCATTTGTTTGTCATAGGAATTACACAAGATACGAGTCATATGACCAAAACTTAGGACCTAATCTTAAATAGGGAAAATAACTTTTAATCATATCAACTATCACTTGTATACCCTTCTAAAAAAAATTATCACTCATATACCAATAAAAATACATCATTTGGAAGTATCTGTTAATAATACAAACTATTTGAATATATAACACAAATAGTAACACAAATATGCCTTAAATCTGATCATGCTTGCGGAAGTACTGGGGTCTAGTTGTCTGGTCAGCCATTCAGGGGGTCCGGGGGGGCAACACGCCCCTGGCCTGGGGTCCGAGGGCGATGCACCCCCTGGCCTGGGGTCCGAGGGCGATGCACCCCCTGGCCTAGTAGTTTGGCCCTGGCCCGACAGTATGCAGTAATACATAATGGTTTCATCAGATTGGGTCTGCGGACATGTTTTCTGGGTCAAGCACGCTTAGGGTTTACTTGTAGCAGTATAAATACCCCATGTACGAACCATTATAATGTGTTTTGATAACTGTATAGTCTATACCTAGCCTCCTCAATAAAATTCTGCTCTCCTTCTGCATGTGTATATAGCCAACACAATGTTGGTGAAGTGGTGAACCAAGTTAAATTTGTTTCTCTTCCTTTACATTTTATGTTTTACATTTTCTCTTTGGTCATTTAATAATCCACTGTAACAAAACGTATAATCTCTATTTCCAATAAATGAAACCTAAATAAATTTTGTTTAGTTGGCTCCTAAGCAACATCATTCAATTTTTGATAAATGAAAAATCAATCCTGGGATCCTTATGAATGCCTAGTTGGCTCCTAAGCAACATCATTCAATTTTTTGCGCTCCTCAGGCGAGGCGACCAACCATGGCGATTGTCGTCCACCACTTGGATACCTTAGCGTCGCGACGTTGCCTAGACACATCATGAGAACCATGGTTTACACGTTTCCAACATTTATTCAAGGAAAGAATTATATATCACATTATCACTCGATAGAGTTAAATGGTCATCAATTTGGAAAAAGAAATGTAAATATAAGATGGAAAGGAAACAGAGTCGATCAGCCAAATTAGCTCCTAAGGAATCATTAGATCATCCACGAACCCCAGAGAATTAAACTTTCAAGAAACAGGAATAAAGGTGCAAATCAAAAGGGAAAGGGGAAGGGAACCAATCAGCCAAGTTTTTTCTTCACCTTTAGTTGCACTTCTTCCCTTGAATCATTAGGTATCTTCTCTTGTTTGCAAGCATCACAGACCTATGGGGTTTAATTGGCGCCTTCAACATGTTTAGATTCATTGGAAATATTTAATGTGGATATAATAGATTTAAACACTTTTTTTTACTTCAGTATATATGATTGCATTGTTTAAATATCTTGGCATATTTACTTTCTTTCACATGCTGCAGTCAATGCAACGAGGAGATCCATCATGGATAGGCTACGTCTATGCATTTGCAATTTTTCTTGGAGTGGTATGAAGTATTGTCTTCCCTATGTATAGATCACATTTAATAAATCCTGTTATATCCCCCCTGAAGCAAATATAGGAAAGAGAGGATAAATGAAAGACAGGATCACAATGCTCTTGTGTTGATTTCCACTCCAAATGTGAACTGATGCAATGACATGTCACTTGAAGTTGACAATGAAATTCACACTCTGCGTAGTTCTTGATACGATAAAATAATATATAAAACCCATTCTTTCCCTATCAATATCTAAAGTTAAGATTCTGAAATGAGTTGTTTTGACCGAATATCATTTAGGTAATTGGGGTGCTATGTGAAGCTCAGTACTTTCAGAACGTGATGCGTGTTGGGTATCGCCTGCGCTCAACACTGGTAATTTAATTTGTTGGTAGTATCCACAGTTTGTTTGATTTACTTTTCAGTTACTTGTCATGTTTTATATACTCTAAAAACTCTTGAATGACGTCATAATTTCATTTTATTTTTATTTTTTCAAAATCAAACAGCTGTTGCCATATTAATATCCGTTACTTCTAACCACTTTTTCACTTCTCTGCCGCAACTTTTATTTTTTTTAATATTTCCTTGTACTCTCTATTATCTTATGATTAACCTACCATTCTTTTTATCTTTTAGCATCTAATTTTTCACTTTGAAATGACGATTGGTGACCTTTAAATATCCGCTTATCCCATATGTTTCTTCATTATTTCCTGAAAAACCCTCACATATCAGTAAATTCATGCTCCATACTTCCATTATGGGCATGGTAATTTAAAATAATGCAATGGGACATGAGTACATGACTATAACTCATATCCTAACTCCATGCTACCTCATGCCTTCTTCATTAAAATGAAATCAACCTACGATTTTTGAATTTCATCTATCATTCCTTTAGAAAAGGTTATTATTCATCATAGAAGGTTGAAACATGAAAAACATCCAGCGTAAAACTTAGCCACTGTTTTTTCATAAATTATAGTGTTGGCTAATTTTAGACAAATAATTGACACAACGACACTATAAATTTCATGCCAACAACCCTAACATAGTTGGGGTTAAGATTTATACACCCTCCGTGCTACTACTTTTGTCCCATCTTTCCTTTTACGCCCGTCCTAGTAAGTTGTCCCATGCCATGTGTGGTTTATATTTGCACGGTTCAAATTCATTCATACTTTTTAATACCACATAATTCCAATTTCCTTAGTATGTGTGCCACTTTCCTTGTTCGAAAGATGGTGAGAGAGAGTTACTATACAATTTGAGGTAGGTTATAGGTTTAACTTTTTTTAATTTATTGCTTGGTTGAATTGCCACCGTATATGGGAGCCTTTGCAGCACTAGGGTAACGTTGTCGTTGTTGTCTTTTTATTGCTTCACTGAATTTGTTTATGCCTTCATCTGCATGCTGTTTTTCATTTTGGAGTTTTTATTTTAGAATACCGTGTATTTTACAGTGTTTTTATGCTTATGGAGTTGTGATGTTTTATAGGTTGCTGCAGTTTTTCGCAAGTCCATGAGGCTAACCAATGAGAGTCGAAAAAAGTTTGCAACTGGGAAGATAACCAACTTAATGACAACTGATGCTGAATCTCTTCAGGCATGTACTTCACATTATAATTAGTGATGTTCTTCAATGTTTTATTCATGCTACAATATTTAGTCAGGTGGATCTTGTTCATGCATTCTTCTATTTGGTTACAATTCGACATATAATCTGTATTAACAATGCCTACTTTTAAGATTTGTCCAAGTATTAGCTGTTGAAGTATGAATGTTCACTTATACAACTATCCTGCTTTCCACCCCCACCCCCACCCACCCACCCACACACACAAAACAGGCGTTAAGCCAACACAGATCTCTAACCATGCTGTTTTGGACTTATTTTGCTACCTGTTCATCTTTACCAGCAAGTATGTCAATCCCTGCACACTCTATGGTCAGCTCCTTTTCGGATTGTTGTTGCCTTGGTGCTACTTTATGCACAGTTGGGGGTTGCATCCCTACTTGGTGCGATAATGCTTGCTCTCACATTCCCCATTCAGGTTTAAATTTTTTTATTCTGCAATTTGTTCTAATTTTAGTTTGCTTAGTTGGGAAATTACTTTTCTGTTGTTATTTGCATCGGTACTTTTTATTGCTGGATGCTGACAAACTCTGAAACCATATCTCATGGAATGAATGCATTGTCAAAATTTCCCTCTTCTGTTAGAGCACCATACAAAATAAGATCATATTATCTTGAAATTCCCTACCTCCCAAAGATGCATATTACCAACAATTTTCTGTTCCTAGACTCCTAGTAGTTGCAGAAGTCTACCTTGTTTTAGCTAGTTTAGTCAATGACTTGGGAGCAAATTGCGGAAGATAAAATCTAAGCACAAAGCAAGAAAATGATAGTGTTACAGAAACCTTCCTGGGTCCTACGTATCAGGGACATCGGAGAATGAATAGGAGTATAGGACCGAATGCTCAAGGTGACCTGGAAGCGTAAAATGAGCCAGGGACAGCCAGGGACCACAGTGTCTGAAAGCAAACTGAAGCTTCCAGGCTGCCTCTCAGTTCAAGCAAGCAGTGCTATTTTCTTTGATATTCTTATTTCGTATTTCAGTTTAAGTCAGCTTTTTTCAGCCTTAGTTTTATGCTTCCATTTAAGGCCAGAACTCTTGTAACAGCTGTATAAGAGTCCTTAGTATTGATCAATAAATTACTTTTTTTTGAGATCTAATTTATGTTACTTGACCAGATTAGGCACAATTTTAATTCAATAAGAATATTTGAAACAACACCACATGGCACACCCAACTCTTCCGCCGTCTTCCATGATATCTTCGATGAGATCTTGAACACTCACTGTCTATATTGGGAATGTCATTTATGATATTCATAAGGGAACTACTATAAGATCTATTACTTCCCCTTTTCAGGATGAGTGAACTAAAAATATCTCCCATTATAATATTTATAGTGTTTTTCATATATTATGGCATGAGCTGATGTCTAAATATTGACAGTAAGCATAGCTCTAGCCCGAAATAGAGTTTTGAAATTTACCTATGCCCACCTATATTTTATGTGTACATCATCATCGTCATCATTACCCCAGTGCTGCAAAGGCTCCCCACCTACGGTGGGGTAAGGGGGGTCGGATGTACGCATCCTTACCCCTGTACGAAAGCACGGAGAGACGGCTTCTGGATGACTCATGGTGAAAATCGTGTCAAAAATTTTATGAACTGACCAATGCTTCATAACAAAGAAGCAGTTTAGTGAGCCATTTTGCTTTATTCCATCATATTCCCAAGCCAAAAAATAGTGAATCTTTGGCTCCATTGCAAATGATGGATTGCTATATTTTATGCGTATAAATTACAAAATTAGAAGTTATAAACAAGTCCTGCATTTTTTGGTGCACCTAAAAAAAACTAAATAAATGGGCTCATATGTTGGGCTCATATTCGTTTTTCCATGACTCATGTCCTTGGGTCTGAATGTATTATATTGTTCTTTTTATCTGTATTTTTTTGTATCAATGAGAAACTTCTCATGTTTACTTTGTATGCAGACTTTGGTCATAAGCAAGATGCAGAAAATGACAAAAGAAGGATTGCAGCGCACAGATAAGAGAATTGGGCTGATGAATGAAATACTAGCTGCAATGGATACAGTCAAGTATGTTATCTTTGAAAATTCTGTCTAAGAGAGAAAATACCTATAGTCACTTGACTATTCACTATTACTCAATTTAGTCCTCGAAATTTATAAAAACTCAACTTGATCCTTGAGACCTTGACCATGCAATTTGGGAGCCAATTCCGTCTCACTCATAATTGGCTTCAACTAAGAATGGAATTTTGCCCGTTTAGGTTGTCAAATGACTAAATTGGGTAAAGAAAAAGTCAAGGACCAAGTTAAGAAATATAATGTATAATTGATGAACATAATTGTGTATTAAGTGTAACAAGTTTCTAATTCCATTAGTATGTTCTATTAGAACTTGCAAACTAGATGATTATTCAGTTGACATTTTATACAACATTCTGCTTCAGATCTTATGCATGGGAGGATAGTTTTCAATCAAAGGTTCAGGGAGTTCGGAATGAGGAACTAGATTGGTTTCGTCAAGCACAGATGCTAGGAGCAGTATGTTGTGAACCTGTCCATGACTCCTTTTGAATTGTGTGTTCGGTTTTAGGTTGTATGGAGATACATATTTTTATAATTATCTCTGTTAAACATAATGGGGATGCGTTCTTTCACTTGGAAACTAAGTGAAAGAGTTAACACTTATTGATTTGTGAGGGAGTTTAGCTCAGCCGCAGTGGATTTATCAAATTGCATTTGGAATTTCCTCTTCTTTCCATTTTTGTTCTCTGCTCCATCTCCAACTCATGAACTGATATATAGTGAACTGAGGCCATTTGATCCCTGATGAATAATATTAGAATCCAATCGAAATTATTATATAACACATATTGTAGTCATGATAAAATTTGATTTAGGTCTACAATATCCAATGCTCTGTCAGTATGGGTTCGAGATATGGAGAGATAAATCATTTTTGACTAACTTTTCTTATGAGCTTCAGCTTCCTTACTTTCCTCACCTGAATGTTATGTTTCTCTGTTGTTTTCTGCAGTTGAACACGTTCATTTTGAACAGCATTCCAGTCTTTGTGATTGTGATCTCATTTGGGATGTACACTTTACTTGGAGGGGAGCTGACACCGGCAAGGGCATTTACGTCTCTCTCGTTGTTTTCAGTGCTGCGATTTCCACTCTTCATGCTTCCTAATATTATAACACAGGTTATCTCTTATAATAAAATGCATCAATGTTATATTTTTCATTTGTCAAGACTCAAGAGATGACTTTGCTAATCTATCTATTTTAATTAGGTACTATAGAATCTATAATATGACTGCTTTGTTGCGCTGAGTGTGATTTTGTCACTCGTGCTCAGAGCATCATTTAGGAATGTGAAGTGGAGCCTTGGCACAACATCTAAGGTGTTGCCATGTGATCAAGAGGTCATAGGTCAAGTCTTGGGGGCGGCCTCTTGTCAAAATGACAATGGAAGGGCTTGCCCCTTAATCCGTGGGACCCTTTCCCAGACCCTCGCCTTGCGAGGATGCCAATGTGCACCGGGCTGCCTTTTACTGTAGAATCTATAATGCAGATTAAATTGAAATTTGAGTGGAAAATCAAAATGCATCTTACCTACACCTTTATTTCAATTTTCATAATCTGAAGCTTTGATTTAGGTCATGGTAGATGCGAGAGGAGTATGAGAACATCAAAAGTAGAGAGAGAAATGTAGTTTTGATATGGAATATCTTTTGTTCCCAGAATTATATTTTTAATCTCATCCCTGTCTGTGCTTAAGTATGTATTCATTAATTTTTTTCTTTTTAAGAAATAGTTAGTATGTTATAGATCTCATTTATGTTCCTACACGTATTTCTTTCCTTGGGAAAGCATAAACAGTTTCCAAGACAATGCTTAAACTTTAAAGCTATAATTTTCCAAGCATTGATGAATGTAAAAGGTGGCGCAACATTATTTTCCTTTTCTCCACTAGTTTACCTACAGTCTATCATATGGAAAGTTATTAAACGTTTTTATCTCGTGTATGCGTACTTGGTTAAATGATGTTTTAAGGTTATAATTGTTTTGTACCAACTTGCCACCCATACCCCTCTTCATAAACTCGGAAACTTGAAATCCTATCCTAATAACGTAGAAGGAGAACTAAGATATACTACAATGTTTGATAACTTTATTTTATTCAGTTTCTAAATGGGCACTAATTTATGAGCAAAAAATATTTTCATGGACTATAATTTCTGAACGAAGGGAGTACTGAACCACTTGTATTAAAATGTTCAAGTCGAATTTTATCGCTGTGCTTTGCCATTTCAGTGTAATTAAAATGTTCAAAGAAAATCATATCATTTCTTTACTTTTCTAAATGAGCATATGGTTTTGTTGAGTTTGCCATTTGCTTTAAAGTTCTGTCTTTGGTGATGAAAAGAATTTTGAACATTCACTTTTTGGGTCTTACCCCCCTTGTCCCTGTGTGTCATTGCCTCATCATTGGATGTATTTACTAATCACTATGCGTGTATCAATATGATTCTTTGTATAGAGTGGTGTACGTTAACTAAAAGCTTAGAAAAGTTAATGAGGATACACATATAGTGATGGGCCAACCACATCAAAGTATTTTGTGTTTTTCCCCCTTGCCTCTGTGTGTGTCTTTTGAATGCATTTTGATGGGCCCAATACCTTGGTGGATGTGTAATGAATGGGATTTGAACCCAATACCCTTTTTCCTTGAGTTTTTGTGTTTATGCCAAATTCTTGTAGACTTGTACACATTGTTTTAAAGTGTGATCAGCTATTTGCTGACTGTACAGGTAGTGAATGCAAATGTATCCTTGAAACGTTTAGAAGAGCTTCTGCTTGCTGAAGATAGAATTCTGCTGCCTAATCCACCTCTTGATCCTGCACTTTCAGCCATCTCTATAAAAAATGGCACCTTTTCATGGGAATCAACAGTAAGTTTTACATTGTTTTTTCCAGAACAGATATGTGCTGATGTATTTGAATACTGAAAACTAACTTTTTATTTGGTCCTTCTGAACCAATAGTTGGTCATGTTTACTTGCTTTCTTGGATGATGTGCTCCTGAGCTTCTCCCATTGAATATTGTAACCTTTAAGCCTACTTTTAGTGGGTTTTGTGGTTTTGCCCGACGTGAATGCTCTTGACTTCATGATATAGATATAGGCCCTTCTGTGAAGTTTCTATTATAAGAAGTCATTAAAGCTTCTATCATTTCACACACTCATGTGGAGCTTTTACACACAGATGATGTGCAGTTGTAAAAACAACTTTAATTTTCTAAAAAATAAATTTGGAAATCTCTTCTGTCAGTTAATGTTGGCAATTTCATACAACCACAGGAAACATAATTATTTTTTTTTATCTTCGAGATGGGGGTGCACATTGCGTAGAGCATCCAACACAGTCTTCGTGAAACTGCGGAACACAAGTTGTTCTTAATTTGAGCAAAGTGGACATTTAAGTAGTGGAGCATCATATAGCAATGCAAATAGCATAACGAGTCTGTCTGTCTTTGTAACTGCCTATGAAGCATGAAAAATCTCAGGGGAAAGAGTCCGTTTCCATTTCAGAAACTCTACGGAAACTCTCTAAATAGTTGTTTGTCTATTAAAAGAGGGCGATTCCCATTTCACGTTTCCAGTTCCCCATGATTCCACGTTTGCATGGTACATAGATCTGCAGATTTTTCATTTCTAGGCAAAATATTGGCATATGGCAGTCCCATTATGTCATATTGTGTTGAGGATGTACAACTTCTGTGAACAGAAAAAAATCACCATTTTGATGGTTGAGCTACTGCTAAAAAGAGTTTATAGTTTTTGTCCTGTTCAAATCCCAGGCTGAGAAACCAACATTGTCCAATGTAAATTTGGACATTCCAATTGGTAGCTTAGTAGCAGTGGTTGGTGGTACTGGAGAGGGCAAGACATCTCTCATCTCAGCAATGCTTGGGGAGGTTCCTGCAGTTTCAGATGCAAGTGTCCTTATCAGAGGAACAGTTGCCTATGTACCACAAGTGTCTTGGATCTTTAACGCAACAGTATGTTTTATACTCTTTCTTTGCAAGCCTTATGTCTTGATGTAAACCACATTAAATATATACGGAGTATTATTTAACTGCAAGAACATGGTTCATTGAAATTGTTATAGTTATAAATAACTGATTTTATTAACTAGAATAGAAAGTGATTTTTTTATAATTGATAATATACATTTGGCTGTTCCCTTATTTTCAGCCCGCTGAGATGATTAGTATGTTTTACAGGTGCGTGAAAACATAATTTTTGGCTCTCGGTTTGAACCTTCCAGATATGAGAAGGCAATAGATGTAACTGCTTTACAACATGATCTCCAATTGCTTCCTGTAAGTAGTTGTACACATTTAATCACTGCTTAGTTTTCTGATATTTTTGTTCTTATTATATTACAGAATTTGCTTGACCAGATTTTTTAATCTTAACACCGTTTGTTTTAGGGTGGCGATCTTACTGAAATTGGGGAAAGAGGAGTTAATATCAGTGGAGGCCAGAAGCAAAGAGTATCCATGGCTAGAGCTGTTTATTCTAATTCTGATGTTTATATATTTGATGATCCTTTAAGTGCTCTGGATGCTGATGTGGGCCGTCAGGTACCTTCTTTCGATGAACAAATTATTGTTACATATACATTCTTAAGGTGCAATCCAAATCATATTTCCAAGTAATTTGCCTCTAATCTAATACTCTATCCCAAAAAGAGTTGCCTCCAGACCTTTTTCTTGTCAGAGAAGAGTCATATTAAATCAAAGAAATCTATTTCCATTGGAATTTGCCAAAAAGGTTACAAACAGGTTGATTATGATAAATATAATTTTTTTTAATCGTGATTATGATAAATATAATTAAATTAGCAAATAAAATGTAAAAATGTAAGTAGTTCGTCTTCATTTTGTTTCTTTTTAAAGTCATGTTTCAAAACCTCTTTTTGTTTTGTAAAAAAGAGAGCCTTGCTTCATCAAACAGAGTTAATGTTTTGTACAACTGGCCAAAAAACTTTCGATCAAGCTAAATAAGATGCATTTAGATATGCAACCAAATAAATTCTGAATTTATAAATATGATTTCATATTTTTTACAAGTGTACTTGTACCTTTCCGAAAAATTAGAAGTTGTACCTTGACCAAATAGGATTCTCCTTATGGGGCGGAGGGAGACTGTAGAATTTCTATAGTTGTATCGTGCCCAAGTTTAAAAGTTGTACCTTGACCAAACATGACACTTGTTTGGTGGGACCGTGGGATGGAGGGAGTTCTAACATGTACTCTTTTTAAAGAGTATCACTACTAGCTATCACTTATTCTGTGGTTTTCACGAGTCCTTCCTATTTGATTATCCTGGTTTGTGAGCTACCTAAAAAAAATCCGAGTCAATGGGGAAGACTCATTTTCCTTATGAATGCTTATTTCCCATTCTTTACACCAATAGCATATTAAACATCAAATATTCGCAACTGAAGGGTCGTAGACATTTATTGACTACATATCCTTATAGATGCTTAAATCAAATGAATTGTGGGTAGACTGTAATTCATACTATCTGTTCCATACTGCTGATTACATATCCTTATGGAAGCTTAATGGCTTATAAGTGCACTTAATTGACCAGGTTTTTGAGAAGTGCATCAGGGGAGAGTTAAGAGGAAAAACCAGAGTTCTAGTTACAAACCAGCTGCACTTTCTTTCACAAGTAGACAGAATTATAGTGGTGCATGATGGTACAGTTAAAGAGGAAGGTACCTTTGAATACCTCTCAAACAACGGCAAGATATTTCAGAAACTGATGGAAAATGCAGGAAAAATGGAGGAGTATGCAGATGAGGAGGAATACGTTGAAAAGGTTGATAAAAAAATCTCCAAGCCTGTTTTAAATGCTAATAAAACAGGAACATCTGAAGATACAGGTGAAACAAATAAAAAGAAGGAAGGGAAATCTGTTCTTATCAAACAAGAAGAACGGGAAACAGGTGCCGTGAGCTGGAAAGTTTTGGCGAGGTAAGATGACATCTTTGTATGTCTAAACTATTTTTGGGTTTTGTTCTGCATGATAAAGTGAAACAAATTCTTAATAGCTTCCAATATTAAGTCTAATCTTTCTAATATAATGCTACATTAACTGAAAAGCTCAGATGTGTTTGGTTATGTACGATAATAGTAAATTGACGAAGCATATAGTGATATACTCATATCAGCTTAACTTTTCTTTCTTATAACTTGATTTCTTAAAACAAATGGAGACTTGATTATTTTAAAGAAAAATACACTTCTGGCATCGTTATTGAACTTAATAGATGTCCAGGGTCACGGTTTGCAAGGAAAAAATTACATTTTTCCCCCATTTTGTTTCACTTGTATTGTTGATACAGGAATAATAACGCAGTTTACTATGTAAGTTTCAAATATTTTGTAATTTTCCTGGTTTACCTAGGTTGGGCTTTGGATAAGGGTTCAGTTTGCTTATCATGTGTTTCTTTTTAATTATCCTGTATCAGCTGGTATTTTCAGCCAAATAGGTTCGTCCTCATTTATATACTATGGGGCGTAACTTCAAAAGATTATTTTCTTTAAAAAATCTAAGCCTAGTCTTAACTTTATTAATGGTGTCACTTACTATAAAAATCTTCTCTTAATTGTCATATCTATTTGCAGAAGCATTGAACCAATCAAAATGTATTTTTCTTCTCATTCTTCATATAAAGCTGATTAAAATAAAAAGCAGTACTGTATATGTATTGTCAGTTTTCCTTGACTGTTTGGACACTTACAATGTGCAGGTACAAGAATGCTCTGGGAGGTGCCTGGGTAGTTATAATACTATTAATGTGCTATGTCTTAACAGAAGTTTTTAGGGTTGGAAGCAGTATGTGGTTAAGTTTTTGGACTGATGAAAGCAGTTCAACAAGATATAGTTCTGGTTTCTACAATCTGATCTATTCACTGATATCATTTGCTCAAGTATGTCATTCATATTTTTTCGCTATTAAAATTTTATTAAATAACATATTTGCAGTTAGCATGCTGTTGTAAAATTTGCTCTCTCTCTCTCTCCCTCTCCCCCCTTTCTCTCTCCTTCTTTCTAATTCAATACATTTTTATGTGTATGCTCAATGAGGAAATGAGCACTAGAAATTTAAAAGAGCAAATGGAAATGAAATGTCTTTCTTTAACAATTTGCATTTCAGGTTTTGGTAACACTCATCAATTCCTTTTGGTTGATCACGTCAAGCCTTTCTGCTGCCAAAAGATTACATGATGCTATGCTGAACTCCATTCTAAGGGCTCCAATGGTCTTCTTTCACACAAATCCACTTGGAAGGATTATCAATAGGTTTGCTAAGGATCTTGGCGACATAGATCGCAATGTTGCACCATTTGGAAATTTGTTTATGGGCCAAATATCACAACTTCTTTCAACATTTGTGCTAATTGGGCTGGTTAGCACAATGTCTTTATGGGTCATACTGCCACTTCTAGTTTTGTTTTATGCTGCCTACTTGTACTATCAGGTATGGCATCTTTTCAACTTTCTCTTTGCATATTTTATATTTTGAAGAACTACCTGCTGTTGCAAATGACCAATGTACTCATTTCAGTGAGATAAAAAGGGTGAAGGTACTGCCATGTTTGCTCACTAGTCAATCTGGTCTTTAATTCTTTCCATCTAGTTTGTCAAGATGTGTTCAAATTGAGGGGGTCTAAAAGTATGGTGGGTGGCGAATAGTTCCCAAACTTCAAATTAGGTGGAAGCCAATATGTAGGAATGCATTTAGTTGCTCTAAGAATAGTGTATATTGCATATACTCTGACAGCAATAACGTTCTTATATAGGAATACTTAGAATTCTGTCTTAAGATGCCTTCATAAACATTAAGAATGTTTAATTAAGTAACCTTCATAAACATTAAGAATTTTGTCTGGGTATCTACACACATGGGAGGAAAAGTTGTTTTATATTTGTTTCCGTAACAACTAAGGTGATGTGGTCATTCCAAAATTTCACTCTTGATGGTTAAACCGTAGGACTGTAGTTAACATTGTCTTGCAGGAATTTTTATTTCATTCTAGGACTTATCTTGTGGGGAAATGACACTGAAAACATGGAAAGGGTAGGAGGATAGTTGACTTGATGAAGAACAGTTGACCAATTTTGCACTAGATCTCATTTATGAATTTTTGAAAGCCACAGGTTCATAGAACGGAGGCCTGAAATGATTACAATTTACAAGTAACCAACCCAAGATTTTAAGTAATGCTGGCCATAGACTATAAAATAACAGGGTATGGGGAGTTAACCTTTATGCTGACCAACTTAACTAACATTCAGCTGAAGGTTCCTTAATTAAATGACTTTTTCTTCTTTTGAATGACACAGATTTGCACATTATTCTACTATTTCAGAATAAATTGAAGCTCAATGCTAGTGAGTTCGACTTTACAAACCTTTTCTAGAGGAACTTGAAACTCTGGAGCGGCAGACTTAAAATAATTGGAAGTATCATTTGTTGATAATGAAGAAGTCAGTTTTTACTCTTTAGTAATAATGTACTTGAACTATTCAGTGGATGCCTCCTCCATGTTTAGGATCAATAGACTTGTATATGATTTTTTTATTTTTTAAAGACTTCGATATGATTTTGGTTACTCTGTGATGTCCCCCAATTGGAGTTTTTTTTTTCTGATGTATTTTGTTTCACATATAAATATTATCCAGCTCCATGGGTTTGCAGTTTGTTTATTTGCTATTTACTATTGGAGTATCTAATGCTTATCAACATTGAACCGTTTCTGACAGAGCACTGCCCGTGAAGTGAAACGTCTGGATTCGATTTCCAGATCTCCTGTGTATGCACAATTTGGCGAAACTCTTAATGGTCTCCCAACTATTCGTGCGTATAAAGCTTATGACCGAATGGCCATGATTAATGGGAAATCCATGGATAATAATGTTAGATACACTCTTGTGAACATGGGTGGGAACCGTTGGCTTGCTATCCGTCTTGAAACTTTAGGAGGCATTATGATTTGGCTTACTGCGACCTTTGCTGTGATGCAGAATGGAAGGGCAGAAAATCAAGAGGCTTTTGCCTCTACTATGGGTCTGCTTCTAAGTTATGCCTTAAACATCACGTCCTTATTAACTGCTGTACTGAGACTGGCAAGTCTTGCTGAGAACAGTTTGAATGCTGTGGAGCGAGTTGGGACATACATTGACTTGCCTTCAGAAGGGCCTGCTGTTATTGAAAGTAATCGTCCTCCTCCTGCTTGGCCTTCAGCGGGGTCTGTACAGTTTGAAGGTGTTGTACTACGTTACAGGCCAGAGCTTCCTCCCGTTTTGCATAGTATATCATTTACAATCCGTCCCACTGACAAGGTTGGAGTAGTTGGAAGAACAGGAGCGGGAAAATCTAGCATGTTTAATGCTTTGTTCCGTCTTGTAGAACTTGAAAGAGGAAGGATTATAATAGATGATTGTGATGTTTCAAAATTTGGATTAACAGACCTCCGGAAAGTTCTTGGAATCATACCTCAATCCCCAGTTCTTTTCTCAGGTATATATGTTTGGATAATGGAAAATGCTGTAGAGAATTGTTTTACCTTTAAAATGAAATCAATCAATCAATCATCATTTACCCCAGTGCCACAAAGGCTCCTACCTACGGTGGGGACCTTTAAAATGAAATGCGGTTCAAAAAAAATAAGGAAAAATTGGTATTATTAATCCCAACTTTAGTCACCATTTTCTTAAATAGTCCCTTACCAGTTCGCATAAAATTTTGACCGGAAAGACTAAACACGTGCATCTCACATGTTTTACTAAGGGTAGATGAAAAGACATCCTCCTCTGAAGTTTACTCACTCCGGTGCGTTTCTTCGCTGGTCGATCTATGAATGTGCCAACACCGGATTTTCACTTTCTATCTAATGCTTCATAAATTATGTCTACTAAACAACTTTGCACCAAACGATCAAAGACGACTAAACATGAGAAATAGATCGAGTTGTATCTGAAATTTTGAACACATAGAACTAGAAGAACCACGTTGTTCTCTGTCCTAATCTGACGCTGCTTCAAACGGTCTTGGATCGTCAATTCCCTTTGTTTGAAAATCAAAATCACTTTCTGGACCATCTAAAAAAGATGGCTGTGATCTTTAATCAACCCATCTGTATATCTGATTTTTTCAGCTAAAACTCAATATGAGAAATTTCTAAGAATTTTTTAGTGCAAGAAGAGTTTGTCGTCTTCTTCGTGTTGCAATAATTTACTCTCCCCGGATGACCTTCCATTGTTCGGCATCTATGAGATGTTTACACAAAAGAAGAAGAAGAAGAAGAAGAAGAAGAAGAAGAAGAAGAAAAGCTGACTGATGCGCATCTCCTGCTCTCTACTTTATCTTCGAAGACCCAACCGTGTTAGAGGTTCTAGGTGCAAAGGGATTTCTCCAACTGCAAGGGAGGCGAGAGGTGAATGAGAAGAAAACCAATTGATTAACTCTAGTGGGCCTGGTGGTGTATGGGGATGGCTTCACCGATTGATATGTTTAAATATTGGATTTACCAGTTGGACCGATAATTAGTCTACCGGACTGTTTAAAGAAAAGGATGACAAAGTTTGGGATTATACTGAAATAATCCATAGTAAGCGTTATTAAATGCAGACCACGAATAGTTGGGACTAATAATACCAATTTTTCCTTCAAAAAATTATTTACATGTATACATTTTATGTCTTGGTAGAATCTACGAGGAGGAATTTCATCATTGGCAGAATGTCTATGTAATTAAGTTTTCAATCATATGATATTATTGGCAGTGAGTCTATTTTTCAATACTAATGAAGTTAAACCCCTATCTACAGTACTCAAAGATCTTGGTCAACAAGTAAATAGAGTACTAACCTTTTACTATATTGCTCTTGGGAATATTACCAAAAGTAGAATATCAATATTAATAAGAATCTACATCTGATAACAATAACAGGAAACCAATAGTAATATACTTATTAGTGATATTAAAAGTTGTAGGTAGACTAATTCTACTATACTCCGCTCCTTTTCACTCAGCTACCAAGGTTAAGCTACAACCGCATCAATTTTGTATTCTTTATATAATTCACTTAAATAACTAGAGTATCAACTAACGTCTAAAAACTCACTGGCAGATGTAATTACTTTTTTTATTTAACAAAATTAGACTAAATGTCACTTTTGGTATATCTCTACCAATGACAGCCACTGCCCACGTGTCACTATTACAAGTGGTTACATTTTCGGCGGCTTTTTGACGAAAGATCTAGCGGTTGACGGCAGCGACTGGCAGCTGGGCAGAGGCAGTGACACTGTGACAGTAACAGTGAGATTTGGGAAGTTGGTATGGGAGGGAGAGAAAATATGAGAATAGATGCAGGGTTTGAGATATCTTAGTCCTTTTATATCTCTTTTTTGGAAATATTAAAAGTACTTGTGTTTTTATCCACTGAAAGTTTAGAGGGTACATTTTGGACATTCTTTCGTAAATTATTTTGCTTTAGCCTATTATTTAGAGGGACCCTTCTCCGGACCCTCGCCTTGCAGAGATGACAATGTGCATCGAGCTTGAAGATATAAAGATAAGAAGCCTATTACTGCGTATTTAGTTTCCCCACATTTTCTTTCCTTCCAATTCCCTTGTATTCTCTGGGTCAAAACGGACCATAAAATAAGTTGCTATCAAATCCCTCCTACTCTCAAGGCACCCTTTAAACGCTTACATATTTTCCCCTGAAATGACCATGCCTGGGCAGAAGTTCAGCCTTACCCGACCAAGGCTCCGCCTAGGTACTAAGCCAAGTTTGCCACTGGCTTATCGCTTTTTTGAACTCACTGATGATTGGATATCAATATTTCAAAGGATTATATCTTTTTTATCAGCTTCCTGAGCTGTGGGGAATTTGAATGTACATATGCACATTCAACTAATTCCATTTTGAGTACAGTTATCTGGTTTGTTTCTTCCAGGAACTGTGAGGTTCAATCTTGATCCATTCAATGAACATAATGATGCTGACTTATGGGAAGCTTTAGAAAGGGCGCATCTAAAAGAAGTTATTAGGAGGAGTTCCTTAGGTCTCGACACTGAGGTACACATGTATATTATCATGTCTTGACCACTAAATTATATACATATATAATATATGTAGTATATATCAATGAATTTTGTTTGTATCTTCTCTTTGTTTCTCTTCTTTGTTTTTAATTTTTTTCCTTTTCTTTCATGTACTCTTCCCTACCCCTCATTAATAAAATTCCGTTTTCATCAATAAAAAAAATTCAATGAATTATGTTTTTCTAGCATTGGACTGATGATGCATTGATCTATATATAAATAAAGGTGTCTGAGGCCGGGGAGAATTTCAGTGTTGGACAGAGGCAACTATTAAGTCTTGCTCGAGCATTGCTTCGTAGATCTAAGATTCTTGTTCTGGATGAAGCCACTGCTGCTGTTGATGTCAGAACAGATGCTCTTATTCAGAAAACAATAAGAGAAGAATTTAAATCATGCACAATGCTTATTATTGCTCATCGTTTGAATACAATCATTGATTGTGACCGAATTCTCCTGCTTGATGCTGGTCAGGTATTAAAGTTAATTTGGAGAGTGTATATTTGGAACTTGGGGAAATAAAATATGGAGGAAAAGGTTAAATTCAGATGTAAAGAAAACATGGGGGAAACAAGGCATTGGTTCAAACCTCAAACTTAACATACTCCCTCTGTCCCGAAATAATTGTCTTGTTTGCTGTAGCACAAGTTTTAAGACAGTGGTTGAAATTGTAAAAGTTGTGGTGGAGATTTGAGTACAAAAAAGGTGAATTTATATGAGCCACATATTTGTTGCCAAAAGAGGAAACAAGACAATTATTTTGGGCCATCATGAAAAAGAAAACAAGACAATTATTTTGGGATTGAGGTAGTATTTTTTTACATTTGTTCAAACGCATATTAATTGTTTATTTATTTCTACTATATAAACACTAAGACATCGGAATATGTGATTAATAACTTTAAAACATCAATTATGTTTCATTTTTCTTTGCATTTTGCGGGATCCAAACAAAACCTAATGGATTGAAGATCCCTGGGTCTATTACGATCTTTCCCTTTCTTGCTCAAGGTCCTAGAGTACAACACACCAGAGGCACTGTTAATGAATGAAGAGAGTGCGTTTTACCGGATGGTTCAGAGTACAGGAGCTGCTAATGCACAGTATTTACGAAGCTTGGTACATGGGGGAGGAGAAATCAAATCGGAGGTGGAAAAGAAACTGGATGGCGAAAGGAGAGGGCTTGCCTCTTCTAGATGGGCTGCTGCGGCACAATATGCACTAGCTGTAAGTCTCACTTCGTCGCAGAATGACCTTCTGCAGTTGGAAATTGAAGATGGCGTTAATATCGTCAAGAAAACAAAGGATGCTGTGATCACTTTGAAAGGGGTTTTAGAAGGGAATCACAACAAAGAAATTGAAGAGACACTGGAAAACTACCAGTTGCCCAGGGATAGATGGTGGTTTGCTCTATACAGACTGGTTGAAGGTACCAAAAAACAGTTATTTCAGGAATAAATTTATGGAGTCCCATATGAGGATTCATATTTCTCATTTGACCTCATTGTTACCATTCATTTTCAGTGGGATGACCCCACTATGAGGATGAGTGGTGATGACAAGGCCAAATGAATATATATAACTCAATTTAATCTTTTTTAGGTGTGTCTTTGTACATATAATTTTAGTGTCTAATGATCTTTCTGTTTTCAATCTAGTGTTTTGTTATTCTCATTGCACTGAAAATAGTGATCTGAGCTAGGGCTGGACACAGCACCAGAGTCGGACCGTAGCAGAACCTGTCGGTTAAAAGAACCAAAACAGTGCCCATTTTTTCAGTTCCCAACTGCAACCAGTACCCAGAGCTAGTCCAAACTGGTTCTGGTTTTTTCCATCCAAAAAATAGTAAAAAACCGAAACCCGTTTATCTGACTCTCCCCTATCCGGAAGGACCGGGAACCATCCCAGTTCAAGCTCTAATCTGATTAGTTTTGTGTCAAAAAGAAAACCGTCCACCGAACTTTGATCCTGAATGGCAAAAATATTTTCTGCATTTTCTCAGGTCTTGCAACAATGAGTAGGCTGGCTCCTAACAGGATGCAAAATGGTGAATACGAATTTGAAGCAAAATCGATTGACTGGGACCATGCTGCAATGTAGGAGTACTATCCCATTGTTCAGGAGGCTATAGATTTTGCCTATCATTACCTACCTCAACTCCTCATATTAACATCTTATGTATTTCTTCTTAACCAAAGTAATTTTCACACTTTTCCTAAATATAATTTAAATCACAGTTTACATTTTTCTTATTTACACGCCCCATCGAAATGGGTGTTACTTAGAGAGTTAGAGATGGAAAAAGTACCTTTTTGAAAGGGGTTGATTGAAACTTGATGGTTTTTCTGTGTTAAGCAAAGTTATTGGGGATTGTACTACCAATAGCATATTCATAAATTTTCATTGAGGGGTGGTAAGTTTGAGCTGTGATATTCATATACATTTGACAAATAGTCGACATAGTATAAATATGAGTAATCATATACATTTGACAAATAGTCGACAATAGTACAAATACATATTCCGGACCAGTTAACTTGCAAACATCATTTGACGACCTTCCCGATTGAATTTTTTGCTGAAATTTGGTATGGATGAACTAGACTTGATGAGGAACATACACAAAAAATTTGAGCAAAAAATACAACCGGGAAGGCCCCCAAATGGAGGAGGCCGGACGGGGCTCCTGTCCGGAATTTCCGGACAGGAATAATCCTGTATAATGAATTATTTATTCAACAAAAACACTATGATAGCATACTTTACACTTTTCATTTTGTCAAAAAAAAAACTTCTTCATATTACATTTTAAAAATAAATTTTGTAGCTTATAAGTTTGATATAATTAATCTTTAATAGAAACAAATATTAATCACAATTTGTAACTTATAAAATTTATCTTAGTAAAATGAATTAAATAAGGATGATTGGCTATGAAAATAGAGGTATTTTAAATTGCGACTAGATAAATAAGTAGGAAATTATCGATCTTTTAATGAGTGGGCAAAATTATACTTGCAAATAAATGACTACATACTAGTTTGAAGTTTTGAAGAACAAAAGAAAAACTATAAAATTTAAAAAAAAAAAAAAAAAAACTAATTGACCACATGACCTATGGTAGCCATAATGAGCTCACTTCCGCCAGTTCCGCACTTCCGCGCCTGTATAGTAGCATATTAGCATGCTTCATTTGAGTGTTTATTGTATTTAACTACATCAAACAAATACCCCGTATTAATTTCTGTATATAAATACATATTATATTTAAATATATAGGGGTGGAGTGGGGTTGAGGGGGAAATTGCCCCGTGTTCTCCTTTGGAATTCGCCCTTGGCAGTACAACTACATTGTTTTTTTAGGGATTGTTTAAAATTGATTCTTCTGCTTCGTAAGAGTAGAATTAGAATTCGTTTTCAGAAATTGATCTCACCCAACTTGTAAAAATTGCTTATAGGAGCATTTTGGAGTACTCAACACTCCAATATCTGTTTTTTCTTCTCTGAAAGAGCAGAAACCGTTTTAAGAAATAAAACCAAACACCCCCCTTAAACATCTCACAATTGTTTTTTCTATAGAAATAACATATCTTTGCTCAAGGAGACAAGGATGATGGAAAAAGGCAAAAAGCATACCCCAAATTGTCTTTGTTTGGTTTTCATCATTTCGTGTAAATGCTGAAAGTCTGAAAGAGATGCTTTTGGTAACAATTTGAAAATTAGTTATGATCAGCTATGCTAAACATAGATGACCGCTAGTAGAAATTGCTTCTAAACAGCAATTAGTGTATATTATAGCGTTTCTGAATCCAATGAAATAACTTTTTGCGAAATAGAAGTAAAGGATTTTGTATTATAGTGTACTAGCTTTCAAGCCCGTGCGATGCACGGGCAGAATGTAATTTAGCTAATTTGAAATTTGATTTGTTTCGGATCATATGTAATGTGATTTAAAAGAAAAATAAACTTAGTCTAATATAGAGCTCGTTTGATAATACTAAAAATAAATCGAATTAACTTATTTTAATGAAATTGATTAAATTTTGGCTGAATGGGCTGAATGGATGAAATCTCCTGAATCATTGAAAAAAATATGTAAAATATATTCCATTTGTGAAGCCAAGAAAAGATTATATGAAAAATAGTTAAATTGATCTTCTACATAAGCATCTCAAGTAAATATAATTGTTATGAACCCGATTTTAAAGAATTCATAATCTCACGTCCTCCAAATTACTTTATTAATTATGCACCTCAGGTTTTTTCCTTCTACTATTCCTCATTCAACTTGAGGTGAAATACTGAGTACCTACTTTTAACTTTTAATAATAAGATGTTACATTTTACTCATTATTTCGTCACACCGTAAATGTAAAAAAATGAAGTTTTTTTTACATTTTACTCATTATATATTTCGTTACATTGAAAAAATAATTTAATTGTTATGAACATCTAACAAATACTTTTCTAGTATTTATCATTCAACTTGGTATGAAATACACATTTTAAAATTTTAATTGTGAGATCTTATATTTTTCTCATTAATAAGGACATTTTTAATTGAATTAAACTTTTGGATTTGATTTGGTAAGAATTAATATGGTTTGGTAGATGTTTGTTTTGCATTTTATGTGACTTATTATTATTATTATTATTATTATTATTATTATTATTATTATTATTATTATTATTATTATTATTATTATTATTATTATTATTATTATTATTATTATTATTATTATTATTATTATTATTATTATTATTATTATTATTATTATTATTATTATTATTATTATTATTATTATTATTATTATTATTATTATTATTATTATTATTATTATTATTATTATTATTATTATTATTATTATTATTATTATTATTATTATTATTATTATTATTAAAGTTTGATCTGATTTGATTTAATCTGGAATTGAAATCAATCCAATTAAAAAAATTCAATTAAAAATAAAAGTATGAATTTGTAAACATATAATATATGCAATATGCAATCGTGATATACTTTTGTTAGTTATTTGCAAAGTAAACATATAATATATGCAATCGTGATATCAATCCTGATATGCAATATGCAATTTGTAAACGTATAAGGTAGATTTATACAGATTTCTATTTCCATATTAATATGCCATTAAAATAGAATCTAGCTAATTAAAATAGAAGGTATAAAAATAACTAAATAATTAATATATATATAATGACATGGCAGGATTATGTGGCGCTTTGTATGCTCTTAAAAAGTTCCTCTTTTATATATATATATTGATTAGTGTATATTATAGCGTTTTATAGTCCCATGAACTGGCAGTCTCTGACTCTCTGGGCCCGACCGGTCAGGGACTGTGAACCGGTTCCATCCCTACCCGTGTAGCAAGAATGTGTATGGGTAAGTTTTGTGTAATTTCTGCTCCAAAAATGTTTGGTGTAACTCATGTTATACTTTTGTGTAACTCATGTTAGTACGTATGAACAATGTGTAAGATATTTTAATATGAATAGTGTATATATACTGTATGTAAATGTGATACATTACATTGTAAATTATATATGATGGTGATGGATAATCGTTACCCATGTTGTATAATTTAGAAGAGATTGAACAAGAAATGGAGAAGGAGATGAATGTGTTGTATTGAATGATAATTTGACTGGGGTTTACAATGCCTCTCATAAGGAGTATATATAGAGAAATAGCGGGTCGGATTGCTAATATGGGTCTGATAGGCTCAACTACGTAAATGCTAATCTAGTCTAGTACATTAAAATGGATGTGTAATTTGTACAATAATATAAATGTTGTCTGTTGGGTGTACATGAGCCGCTATCTAAGCCCAATAGTCAGCAGACCGAAGGGTCAGAGACCATATACTTTATCAGATGGTTGTTTTAAAAACATGTGATTGACTTGTAAATGTAATATTATTTATTTATACAAAACTAATGCTTGGTGTACGTAACTTTATGCAAAACATAAATTGCGTGCGCCAAATATGTAAGTCATGTGATACAAAATGTAAATTGTGTTATGCAAAATGTAAATGCAAGTCAAGTTATACAAGTCAATTATGTAAGTTGCGTTATACAAAATGTAAACTGCATTTGTCAACTATGTAATGTAGTGTATATTTGTATGTAACTTTTGAAACACCGTGAACTTTATTGGATTTCAAATATGAGTCACACAAATTGAAAAATAATATAGAGCTTGAAGAAATGTTACAGACTAAAATATATGAATTTTTGTTTTAGAAAAACTTTAGTTGAGAATTGATTGAGTAGAAAATCTAGATTTATTTGTAACTTAATTTGAATATGAAGAAGAACAAAATCGTGGGTGGATTCTTAATAGTTGATGACAAATCGGTGACAAAGAGGAACAAATAGTTGATGAAGAAGTAAAAGTAGATGCAGTTTTTTTAATATAAAATGATATCGATTTGGGAAATGCTCATTATGCACATAATGTATCCATCCCACGGTATAATATGTGTTCTGAAAATATTCTTCAATTATGCCTTTTTATTTTTTGATTTGAATAAAGCTATACAAGCATAAGTAAACAATATTTGTACAGTTGTGGTATATAGCAAAAAAGTGAACATAGATATTTTAGGGCTGGGACTTTGGAACCAAGAACCGAACCGGACCGAACCGTTATGACCCAGTTCGGTTTGGTTCCAAAATTTATTAATTACTACCTCCGTTGCGGCCCTATGTTTAAAAAACCGACCCGACCCGGCCGGGTTGACCCGGAACCCGGTGACCCGGACAAAAATTAAATCCGGTTCGGTTTCTTCAAAACCCGCAAATGGTCAAAAACCGGAAAAACCCGGCTGACCCGAAAAACCCCGATCCGGACCCGGACCCAAGAAACCCGAAAAAACCCGGGAAACCCCTGTTTTCGGTCTTTTCCAAAAAAAAAAGTAATTTCTTTTTAATTTTAATGCAATTTTTTAACCAATAAAATTACAATTTCAATTCCCTAAAAAGAAAAACTATGTAATATATTTATTTAAGAATGAAAATCATGCCAAATTTTAATATAAATGTACAATACTAATAAATATATATAATGAGAGTGTATATAATTACATGTTTATTATTATTAATAGACGTATAATCGTTGACCGGTTTTCCGGCTTTGACCGGGTTGACCCTCTGGGTCCGGGTTGACCCGTGACCCAGTCACATGACCGGGTCGCTCACCGAGTCATCGGTCCGGTTTTTACAACATTGCGTTGCGCTAGAAGGTTCTCATAGCAAAACGGCACGGTTATTTAGGTGATAATTAAATAAAGTAATTCGGGTATATTTTGAGAAATACTTTTAATAGGTATATATTATATAGTGTTTGTATTGATAACTGTGATGTTATAAATGTATT